TGGTTAATAGGGGTAAACTAGCATAAAACATATTTAAGGATGATATACATTTATTAGCTCAAGTACCTTGTCCAGTCTAAATGTTTCTGATGGCACGCTCAAAAGCACATGTACGCTGTCTTGGACAAGCTGAACTTGGTCGGGAATGATCAAGAGAGGGCGTTCCAGTGATGCATCTAAGACCGAAGCCTCTAGGCATCGAAGTTTATACATTTCATCAAACATTCTAGACCCAGCTTCTGTTAGGTATGGCCTTTCAGTAGTCCTAGGTTTGCTGAGAAGAGAAGACAAATGAGAAACATACAAAACTGACAGGCTATTAGAAATAAAGAACCATTGTACCATCAGACAAAATTAAAAAATCAATTAAAAATCACGTGATGACGTCATGATGACGTCCTGCTTCTAGGACTGTCTTTGGATGATGGTTGAAAGAAATGCCAAGTTTGATGTCAATCGAAAATTGCAAAAGGGTAAAAGTCCTGCTCAGAATGAAAACCTGTGTTATGGAATGGGATTTGATGTGGAAGAAAAAATGTAAAAAAATTCAAACAAATAAAAAAAAAATTAACAAAAACAATAGTTGTTTCGGCCGATGCAGGAAACAGCTGATAATTTCTAGATGTTTAAGACAAAATAATTATCTCAACTCTTTCAGTACTGTGTTTTACAAGAAAGACAAAAAGTAATGATAAGGTGGAATCTTTCCGAAAAAGTTAGGAGGTGCATGTAAATGTTGCAGCCCATACTTGCCAATGGTCTCCCATGTGTGGTGTTGGTTGGGTTGATAGTCCAATGCCTTCTGCCAGACATTATCATCTCTTGTCACTGGTGTCTCTGTTGCTGGTGTAGACAGGGATGATGACTCATGAAAGCCTTCGTCCTCAGAAGGCTGGCAAGGAAGAAACATAAAATGACCCATGGACTGAATTCATAATATCAAGGCTGCATTCACTGGACGTGACACAGACCTTCAGATGCTAGGATCCATTAACTGAGTTCAAAGCACAATTTCAGGGATGCTACAACAGAGCATAAGTGAGACACTTTAACCAAGTCACATCCTTTCTGATCACATGCCAGGACATGAAAACACCAGTCAACCACTATACAGTCACTATACCCTGCAGTGTATCTCTTTCTTGAATATTGTATTGTTAATTACCCAGAACAATCATATGGCCAGTATATAAATGCATGCACATCAACTGTACAATATTTTTACATATGGATGAATATAAACTGTGTAGGGGAAGCAGTTGAAGCATATTCATCTGTGTCAATGATTGATTTCTGTTATCTGATTTGCCAAATCCATTTTACTTAACGTTTTGCATATAAGTAATACAGGTTTCCTCAACATAATGTATAAGCTTGAAACACGAATCTGTGTTTCTAAAACCAAGCTGCCAAGGCCAAAAGTAACTTGTAAAGGTCTCACTTTTGATGATAGATGGGTATGACTGACACAATTGAAATGATACACCATGTCCATCCGTGATGCACAAAATTCTAAGCAATGGGTCAAAACACTCATTTCAACTTAATAAGAGACACTAATGGTAGGTAAAATAGAGAACAGAACCCAGGACAGAGAAGCACAGGAAACATTGGTCATTGCTATCACACCCAAGAATGCAAAGCACCTGAAACAAAATCCTTGAAGACACAGTCATTTTTCCTGATTGGCGACGAGGGATATGGACATTTTCATCAACCGCCAGAACCAAAAAAAAGATCAGGAAATATAAACAGATTTTATGTATGATTTCATGCATGTGTAGATGGAAGTGTTTAGAGGGACTAAATAATGACCGACAAAGGTAACCTTAGCATAAATTTGCATGTGGAAGGGGACTACCGATTATTTGGCATCAAATAAAACTTTGAATTCTACTTCTAATCCAACCTCAGAGACATTTGGTATCTTGAGGCCAAGCAAGTCCATGTTAGTGGTATCAGGAAGCTCAGGGAAATCTAACTTGACATCCAGCTGTCTGGTTTTGCTGTGAGTCAGTCCACTGAATAGGGTCTCCCTTGTGTTACGTTCATGTTCACTGTCTAGAAGACCCTGGGAATAATATGAACATTTGAAAAGATTCATCAAAAGTGAAACCATAACACTGTCATGCACTGCACTCTTGAACATGTTCTTACACTTGACGGGCGTGCAAAATTTTGTCAAAATCACGGCACTCTGAGGTCAAAGTCATATTTAATGCACAAGTATCACCTGCTCACAAGTGTGGAGCCAATACAAATGCTGGCTTTCATTTTTGGTTCCTAGAACGGGCTATATTTAAAATGGAATTAAGTAAGTTACAATGCAAAGCTTTGTAGAAGCACCATGTATTTTTTTGTGAGTGAATACGGTTCTGAAAAGAACTGTTCCATTAAATGTTTCTGACAGTATGCTCTGTCTACCCTTATTCTGATGCTGGACAAGGCATACTATCCAAAACATTGCGTCCACCAAGTTTTTCAGAACCCCACTCACTCATCTTAGAATGTCCACAATTATATATAACGGTTT